CTTCTTTGAGAAAAATAAATGTATGGAGACTTAGGGGTAACTTAAAAAAAATCCTGATATTTCAATTGGTATCAAGAATCATGTTTGTATTAACACAGGGTATTAAGAAGCACACTCTTGATTTGGTCCTTTCTTTAAGGCTGTGTTATAATATAGGCTGCACCATCACTTTGGTGAGAAACAGTTTATTTTCTAGCCCTATAATTTCTGGACTTTCTTTATTCTTTCAAAATTATGCTTATAAATCAGCAAGTTCTTTTCTGAGTTCATCTCTGTCTTTTAGTACTTCATCAAATATATCTGCTGACAACTAAATTACATTTTAATTTTTTTTTAATCCTCACCTGAGGATATTTTTCTATTTATCTCAGATAGAGTGGGAGGGAGGGAGGGTGGGAGGAAGAGGGAGAGAGAAACAGAAACATCAGTGTCTAAGAGACACATTGACTGGCTGCTTCCCGCATGACCCCAACCAGGGCTGGGGATGAACTGCAACTGAGGTACGTGCCCTTGACTGGAATTGAACCTGCGACTCATTGGTCCGCGGGCCGATGCTTTAACCACTGAGCCAAACTGACCAGGGCCTAAATTACATTTTGTAAGTTCATTAGTCACATGTTCTGCCTTCCAGATTATTTTAGATGACAGTGCTATGAAGTATTTATTACATAAAATGAGTCCACCATTTTCCCAGCTCCTCTCCCCCTAATAATTTTCTTACCATTTTCAGTGTCTTTACATTCCTTGTAACCAGTCATCTGGTCCCAAAGCCAATGCCACACGTATTTAGGTTTTTTGTCATAGTAGCACTTCACCTTTGGTGCCAATTTCTGTATCAGCTGTGTAACATACCACTTTCAAAACATAGGGGCTTAAAACATCAGTTATGTATTATCATTAATGTATCTGTAGGCCAAATGGAAGTTAAGACAGTGTGATCCACACTGTAAACTCTAGGTTGGGTAGAAGTGTATTTCATGATTCTCATCCATCTTAGACCAATGAGCTAGCCAGGACATGTTCTTATGGTGATGCAAGAAGCACTGGAGGGCAAGCCAAATTGCATAAGCACATTTTAAGCTTCTGCTTGGCCAAAGCAAGTCAGAAAGCAGCCTAAGTCAAGGGTTGGGGTAGTATATTTTACTTCTAATGGGAGGAACTACAAATTCATACCAAGGAGCTTGAATAAAGAGAGGGGTGAGCAAAACATAATACAGAGCTACAGTAATCAAAAAAGTGTGGTACTAGCATGAAAACAGATATGTAAACCAATGGAATAAAGTCCAGAAATAAACTTTTTTGTGTATGTGTTCAAATGATCTTCGACAAGGGTGTCAGAACCCTTCAATGGGGAAAGGGTTGTATAGAATTCATAAAATTTTAAAAATGGATTTTAGAGGAAGTGAGGGAGAAAGAGAAACATCGATGAGACAAACATCGATCGGTTGCCTTCCGCACACACCCTTATTGGGGATTGAACCCACAATCTGGGTATGTGCCCTGACCAGGAATTGAACCTACCACCTTTTTTTGAAGTATGGGACAATACTCCAGAAAGAATTCATAATTTTTTTTTTTTTGCATTTATCTTGAGATAGAGCGGGAGGGTGAAAGGGAGGAAGAGAGAGAAACATTGATGTGATGTGAGAGAGACAAATCGAGTGGTCGCCACCCACACCACCCCAACTGGGGCCGGGGACAAACTGCAACCGAGGCACATGCCTCTAGCGGGAACCGAGTCCGGGCCTCTAGTTCATGGGCCCACGCTCTAACTGCTGAGCCAAACTGGCCAGTGCCGAATTAATACCTTTTTTAAAAATGAGCAAGTTATGTGATTCAGGGAACACAGAATGAATGGTATTATAAATTTAGAAATATTTAAGATTGCCGCTTAATTGCTCTAGTCCCATTCCCTGGAAGTAACCAGGTTTTGTTTGCTTTATTTTATTTTTGTTTTTAAACCGTTTTTGTTTCTTCTGGCAGTTACTGCTATAATTCCAGAAATGCCTCATCCCTATGTCTTGATTAATCAACTTGAAGCACAACGTCTACTGATTCTTTACCATGAAAGAGAAGATATTTTTTAGATATGTTTTCAGCTATATTATTCTAAGTTTTTCTTTTTATCTTGAATGTTAAGCTTAAATTTAAGTTTCTTGTTCTATCAACTTTAGACATTACCTGTTGGCTGCCTCATACAGGACAGGGCAAAAGTAGGTTTACAGTTGTGAGTACATGAAATAAATTGTTCTTGTATTACTATATATTAATTACTATATTTTCCATACAAACAACCGTAAACCTACTTTTTTTCCCCATCCTGTATGTATCGGTGAAGACATTCTTGGTCCTGCAGTACTCTTTACCTCTTTCCTACCTTGTTTTCCCACTTCTGTTATCTATAGTATTACTTTTACTATAACAACTTTATTATGCCTTTGCCTTGTCCAGAAATAATTCAAGAGACTTATAGATATAAGGTTTTGAGCTTACTGTTACATTTTAAAGAGCTGGTTAAGTTGTATTATTAAGATAAATGTGTGGAGAAGAAATAAGAACAGTAGGCTGGCCATGACGGAAGCACGCCGTGGGTGACCTAACCCTCCAACATGGCGGCACGGTTGAAGCAGCCACTGCTCCTGGAGGACCCTGTAGGAAACAACTGCTGCTACTGCTGTTGCCATCACCTCTTCTTTCATTTCTTCTGGGGCAGGGGCCAGGGCCAGGTTTTTACACATCTGTTAGTAGACCTTTTTGGAGCTCTGCTACCCAACTCAATGGCATTCTCAACTACTGTGCCTATGGGATTTCACTATGAAACAAAGTAAGTTCTCAGCTACTTGGGCTCCTCTCTCAGGAGAAAGTGCAAGAGCAACATCTTTTCTCACCCCAAGGAGTTCAACAAGATGTAGCTTCACAATCTCTGGATCAAGAAGTTTTATTAAAAGTTAAAACTGAAATTGAAGAAGAGCTAAAATCTCTGGACAAAGAAATTTCTGAAGCTTTTACCAGCACAGGCTTTGACTGGCACACTTCTCCAGTGTTCAGCCCTGCTAACCCAGAAAGCTCAGGAAGAGACTGTTTGGCTCATCATGGAGAAAGAATGTTCCAGGAACTGAAAAAGCCTCTACATAAGGCACTTCAGATGCTCCTTAGCCAGCCAGTGACATATCAGACATACCGGGAGTGTACACTGGAGACAACAGTTCATGCCAGTGGCTGGAATAAGATTTTGGTGCCTCCGATTTTGTAATAACAAATGCTTTTGGAATTGATGAGATGTGGACTAGAACCTTCAAGTGCATTGCTGTGATGCACCTGGAGTACTGTGCAGCAGAGCACATCATTCAGCAAGGTTGCTGGTGGCATAAGTTCCAGATACTCTCTTCCAAAGATAGGTTTTCATTCCTGACTGATTGTATCTTGAAGTATCCTGAAGAAATCAAAGATCTTCATAAGAGACCAAAGCTAATTGGGATTACTATGAAATAAACGGTGGTAGCTTTTTTTCAGACCTCGTGAACACTGTAATTGATAGAACCATTGTCACCCATCACTCAGTAACTTCTAGACATGGGGACTTCTCGCTGCAGAGGAAACAGAAAATCAGGTGGCTCCACTGGCTTGGGCTCCTTTCCCCCAGAGTCAGGCTAGACTCAGGAGAACCCACTTCTCATTTTTAAAGGCACAGAGCGTTTAGGGTACCTGACATGGAACTCTTTAGGTGGAATGTTTACAGGTCTACTGGAGCAGTCAGACACAAAGTTTATACTTTTTTTCAAAGCATCGAGTTCTGTCCTTTTATAACTTCTGGCAGAGCAGTGGTCTGCTGGTGTACGTTTCCATATCAAACAATCTGCCCATCTTCTTGTGAGGGAGGACTCTCACAGTGAGACCTACCTCTTGAACTACTTTGTCCTGGTTCATGTTGTACATCCAAAGAGTCTTCTCTGTGGCTCCATTGTGGATAGAGGATGAGGAAGGTACATGTTCCAGCCCTCATTTTTCCACTGCCGTTATCATTGCCATTGCTGCTAATCATGGGTATCTCCACCCAGGAACCTCCTTGCCTATACGGTATTTTACAGCAAAGGAAGAAGAAAAATACAGTGGATGTTATGTAGTCCATTTATAATTTTCAGTTTTATTACGATATAGTGCATCAAAGTTTGTTGGTGATTTGTTACAGAGAAAGTATTTTATTCAATTGAAATATGTGCTAAAGAAGAGAGCAATAATACGGATAACTAATTTGTTAAAAAAATTTTAAGGACAGTAGATTCTTAGTGTACAATATTCTCTTCTGGGCCACTTGACCTTTCTAACTTTTATCTTAAGGACACATCTGCTTTCTTGGGATCTTTTATTTTTCTACCTGTATACCAAGCTATATCTGAATTTCATAAGATGTTCTGTTTTGCATGTAGCTTTGATTCTAGGATTCCTTCAATTGTAAGAACCATCATTGCTTTAAAATAACTTTATTGAGGCTGGGGGAAGGACACTACATTTAATGATTGATTGCATGCAGCCCAGTTTCAGAAATAATAAAATTAGGAAATATATTTGTATTTAATTTTTATATAGAAGGGAAATGAACAAAAATAAAAATTAGGTCACCCTTAATTCTATTGCATACCTAGACTTTTTTCACTACAGAAACTTCTTTCTTTTTTTGAAAATTTGAGACTATTTTGGAGCCTACTCTTTCCATTAAACCCCATCTCCACCTTTACTTATTTTGTTGGCTATATTATAATTGTATGTGTTTGTGTGTACCTAACTTATTTAACTGGTTCCTCTTTTTGCAGCTTTTTGTGAAAAACATTTCTTATAGATAAATCTTTGCTCGTATCTGATTTTTTTTCACTTCAGATGGAATAGAATTTCTGGGTTAAAGAGAATGTGCATTGTTGTGGTATAACTTCATAATAAAGAAAAGCAAGTTAACATTTTTTGGCATATTATCACTAAAATACAAATTTTTTCTTCTTTATTAGTGAACACTTGTCCTGCTCTTTCACCTTTTTCTTGCATGGAGACAGCAATGTTTGTACCAGTGTGGAAATTAACCAACATCAACCTGTGTACCTTCTTAGTGAAGAGCATATCACCCTTGCTCAGCAGTCTAATAGCCCATTTCAAGGTAGATTATTTTGATGGCTTAGGTATTTGATTTTTATTGTTGTTTCAAGAAAATTCTTACCGAATTTGGTAATTTGGTATTTTGAGATTAATAAGATTTATCCTAATGATGATTCTGATGTAGTTTACTTTTTTCTCCCCCATTCGAATATTAAATCAGACAAATAAGTTTTTTAATACCAATGTTTTTATAAAAATTCTTATCCTTGAATGGCAGCATATTTTAAAGTGTTTTTTTTTTTTTAATAGCAAGTAGCACATTAATGGGTTTATGTTTTCCTGGTTATCTTGCGTGTCAGTTCACATAAGTCAGTTTTAACATATAACACAGGGACTTTTGGTATAACCTTTTTTTTTTTTGTTAATCCTCACTGGAGGATACTTTTCCCATTGATTTTGAGAGAGAGTGGAAGGAAGGGCGGTGGGGAGAGAGAGAAACATTGTGAGAACGAAACATTAAATGGCTGCCTTCTGCACGTGCTATACCATGGATGAAGCCCGAAACCCAGGCATGTGCCTATTGGGAATCGAACTGGCAACCTGTCAGTGCACAGGATGATGCCCAGCCAACTGAGACATACCAGCCAGGACAATGTGTGTTCTTTCTTTTTTTTTTATTTGTTTGTTTTAGATAGAGTGGGAGGGAGAGAGGAAGAGAGACAGAGAGAGAGAAACATCGACGTGAAAGGGACACATCGAGTGTGTTCTTTCATTTTTAAGGCTAGTATTTGCTTTTTAAAAATGTACATGACATTACATAATAAATACTTAGATTTATATATACACCTTATTTTTTTCTCAAATTGCTTTTCCTTAGTGGAAATCAGGGTAAGTTGAAGGATATACAGATATCCCCAGTTGATTGTGAAATTCTGTCCATCTGAGGTTTTTGGGTAGACAGAATTTTAAGTTTTTTAATAAACTCAGTGTTGTATACTTCACAGTAATTAAGTATAATACGATGATTTTCTCAGGAGTGATCTTATGGCTTCCCTTGAGCTTTTTTAGAATTACATAATTACTTGTAATATTGTTCAGTGTGATCTTATTTGGTGTAACAGTCTTTAGTTACTTACTTGATTCTGTTTTGCATTTCTAGTTATCTTAAGCCCATTTGGACTAAATGGCACTCTCACAGGACAGGCATTCAAGATGTCTGATTCAGCTACAAAAAAATTAATTGGTGAATGGAAACAATTTTATCCTATCTCATCTTGCTTGAAGGAGATGTCTGAAGAAAAACAGGAAGATATGGATTGGGAAGATGATTCCTTAGCTGCAGTAGAAGTTCTTGTTGGTATGAATTCTGAGTATTAATCCTAAGGGGAAAATATGTGACTGTATGTATTAGTTAGTTTTTGCTGAATAATAAACAACTGCAATACCTTAGTGGCTTTCAACACTAAACATTTCTATCTTCCTTATTTCCTACTCATATTACATAAGGGCTGCAGCTTGGTTGTGGTTTGGCTCCTTGTATCTTATTCTGCAACCTAGGTTCAAGGAGTACCCAGCATCTGGGACATGCTGTTCTTACAAGAACAGAGGAATAATAGGGACTGAGTCTAATTATGTAAGTGTATTTAAAACTTTTACTAGGATACAGCTGCTCACATTCCATTAGACAAAACTAGTCATGTGGCCAAGCCAAAATCATTGGGTCAGGGAAATACATTCCACCTAAAGGAAAGCATGCTAAAGGTGGGAAGAAAATAATTATGAATGAATAATATTTGGAGGCTGAAAAGTTGACAGCCTGTGTTATGCAATATTTTAACATTTGGAAAAACTGTCACCTCTGATAACTTAAAAGGCAGAATAAAATATGTACCTAAAGAACTTGGGTCTTTCATCTCTTGTGCCCAGGTCATCTCTATTCTTAGTGGCTGTATTCTGTGACTTCTCATTCAAGGACCTAGGTTAATAAGGTAAACTGTGTTTGGGACACGCTAATCTCAAGGCAGAGGACAGAACAGAGGCTGCACTGATCCTGCAAGCACATTTAAATTAAAGCTCCTATTGGAATGTGACATATATCACATGCATTTACATTCCAGAGCAAGTTACAAAGCCAAACCTAACAATGGGATGAATATGTATACTCCACGTTAGACATGAGAGGCGTGGGGGATGTATAATTGAGCAGATGATTGGGGTTAGAATCTGCAACACTATGTTTAATGGAAACAAATGGTAATGTTATATATAAAGATTGCCTTATTAAGAAAATTATTTATTTAGACAAAGACATACACACACACGCCCCCCCACTGCCCTAGATTTGTTCTTCCACTTTATGCATTCATTGGTTGCTGCCCTGACTGGGGATCAAACCTGCAACCTTAGCATATGGTCATGACACTAATCAGCTGAGCTACCCAGCTAGGGCATTTGTTGTGTGTGTGTGTCTAAATTTTAAAAATATCAACATTCCACTTGAATAAATACATTACTATCAGAGAAGTTGTGCCAAAAACAGAAGCAAGACATAAACACATATTAGGCTTTTTAGAGGCACAAAAAGAAGAAAACGAAAATGGACCATAATTCTAGTGCCCAGATTACCTTTGTTAAACTTTTATTTTTTTTATCCTCACCCGAGGACATTTTTTGATATTTTGTTTAGATAGAGTGGGAGGGAGAGAGAGAGAGAGAAACATCGATGTGAAAGGGACACATTGAGTGGTTGCCACCCGCACGACCCAACCAGGGCCGGAGATAAACTGTAACTGAGGTATGTGCCCTTAGTGGGAACCGAACCCGGGTCTCTCCAGACCGCAGGCGGACGCTCTTACCGCTGAGCCAAACTGGCCAGGGCCCTTTGTTAAACTTTAAAAATAAGTTTTAATACACCTTATAATTGGTCAAATTTGAAAATAAGGATTTAAGAGAAAATAATACACATTCATGGTTAGAAAATTCGAAAATGAAAACAGAAAGCTCTTCTAAGACTTTCACTAAAGGTAATCCCTACATATAGCTTCTTAGGGTTTCTTCCAGAAAAACCTTATGCCAAAAAGAGCATATATTTATAAAAATATATTAAATAGATTGTTACCTAAATGTAATTATATCTACTGTACCATTACAGTATTTTTTTTTATATTCATGTTTTTATTTTTATTTATTTATTTATTTATTTATTTATTTATTTTAATGAATTTTTATTTATTTTTTTGTTACAGATATTTTACCTTTTTACCCCATTGGCACCCCCCACCCCACCCCACCTCCGCCCTGTCCCCGGTTTAGTTGTCCATGTCCATTGGTCATGCATACATGCATATAAGTTCTGTGGTTTATCTCTTCCCAACCCCTCTTCTGAGGGATGTCAGTCTGTGCCCTACTTCCATGTGTCTGGGTCTACTGTATTCCTCAGACTGTCCATTACAGTATTTTTGAGTGAAACTAATTTTACTGCAATCACAATAGTAATTGATTTTTCTTGTCTTTTTTCCTTTCAGCTGGTGTCCGAATGATCTATCCAGCAAGCTTTGTTCTAGTCCCTCAGTCGGACATTCCTACTCCAAGCTCTGTGGGATCCTCTCACTGTTCAGCTTCTTGCTTGGGTGTCCACCAAGTGCCTGCTTCCACAAGAGATCCTGCTATGTCTTCAGTTACTCTTACACCACCTACATCTCCTGAGGAAGTCCAGACAGGTGTTGTTCTAATTTCATTAGCTCTTGTGATTTTAAGTCTTATTTTGAATACAGTAAACATTTAATTAAATAATTATTTAGAAATAATTTAAAACTTTTTGAAGAGTTTGCAAGTACAGTGCAAAGACTCCCTCATCCAGATTCCCAAACTGTTAACATTTGCTTCATCACCTTCTCTATATGTATACATTCATTATCATTGGTCTTCTGAAGTATTGAGAGCAAGCTGCAGGCATGAGGCCCCATCACCTGTAAGTACTCAGTGTACTTTCCAAAATTAAGAGCACCTTCCTATATAACTACCATTTAATCCTCCAAGTCAGGAAATCAACATTATATAACACTAACCATCCAATTCACATCCCCTGTTTAGATTTTTTGCTTTCTATATGTTAAGTGAAGTAGCATGCTTTTTTGCCTCAAAAGGTAAGTAGGCTTACCGGATAGCTGGGGCAAGTTGTATCAGTAATTAAATTTTTAAAACCCAATTAATATTACTTTAAACCTACCTTTATTTTTTTCCTATAGTTTACAATTTTTTGTTTATTTTCAGTTGATCCTCAGTCTGCCCAGAAGTGGGTCAAATTTTCTTCAGTATCTGATGGCTTCAACTCGGACAGTACTAGCCACCATGGTGGGAAAATACCCAGAAAATTAGCTAATCATGTGGTGGATAGAGTTTGGCAAGAATGCAATATGAACAGAGCACAGAACAAGTATGTATTTTCACTTTCAAGTTTAAAAATTGTATGTTGGTAGTATTTGTAGATAGTATAAACAGTTGTATGACTGTTACTTAATTCAAAAAATTAATTTTTTAAAATTCAATTTTAATGCTTAATTCCGGGTAACAGAAAATGTTATGAATTTTGAACAGTTTTTAAAATTTCACATCTTAGGAGGAAGTATTCAGCTTCATCAGGTGGTCTGTGTGAAGAAGAGACAGCTGATAAAGTGGCATCCTGGGATTTTGTTGAAGCCACACAAAGAACAAATTGCTGCTGTTCAAGGTACTTTTTTTTTTTTTTAGTCAGTGGATATGTATATACATATATGTGAGTGTGGTAGTTTCTTATGCTGTTGAATACATATGCCCCATTTTGTTTGAGGAAGCTTACATAAACATAGTATGTTAGCATATTTTCAAAAGAAAAAATTTTTTTTTTATCCTCACCCTAGGACATTCTTCCGTTTTTTTGTTCAGATAGAGTGGGAGGGAGAGAGAGAGAAACATCGACGTGAAAGGGACACATCGAGTGGCTGCCACCTGCACGACTAACCAGGGCTGGGGACAAACTGCAACCGAGGTGCGCGCCCTTAGCGGGAACCTAACCCAGGTCTCTCTGGACCACAGGCCGACACTCTAACTGCTGAGCCAAACCGGCCAGGGCTCAAAAGAAAAAATTTGAGGAAAAAAGTTCAATAATTTGGAGACGATTATGGAAATACATACAAATGTATGCCTTAAGTTCTTACACAGTTACCAGTGCTGGACTGTGAAAGCTTGGTTTCACAGCCAAATAAGAGAGAATTTTATACTTAGTATAGTATATGTAGTATCTATAAGGTAAAACACACACACATCTCTTGGGAAGTGTTCATAGGTGGCATTGTGCCTGAAAAATTTCTCCCAAGGGTTCTCATAAAAATGATGATATATACTAGATAAAAATTTCCACAGTCTGGCCCAGGCTGGTTTGGCTCAGCGGTTGGAGCGTTGGCCTGCGGACCAGAGAGTTCTGGGTTTGGTTCCCGCTAGGGGCACATACCAAAAAAAAAAAAGTAAAAAAAAATTTCCACAGTCTGTTTTATAGTAAATACAGTATAGGGTTTGTGCAGCAGTTTCTTATAACATCTTTTTGGGCAAGCTGTAGGTGAAATGTTAAAATAAGATTAATAAAGTATGATTGAGCATGGGACCAAAACTCTACTGTAAAAATACAAGCTTTGTAATAGACTGTATTGGTTGAAAGATTGGTAGAAGAATGTATAAACTTGGAATTCTTTAGTCAATTGTATTTATTTTACATATTGGGGCCTTTGATGAAATTAGATTATTAGAGGCATTAAGATTATATTGCCTAGCTCTGGCCATTGTGGCTCAGTAGTTGGTTGAGCATTGTCCCATGCACCGAAAGGTCACTAGTTTGATTCCCAGTTGGGGCACATATCCATGTTGTGGGTTCCATCCCTGGTTGTTGTGCTTATGGGAGGCAACTGATGCATGTCTCTCTCTCTCTCTCTTCCTCTCTCTCAAAAAGCAATTTAAAAAAAATATTATATTGCCTAGAGTTTATTTTATACTACAGATTAAAGGTAGATCATATGCTTTTGCAATCAAGTAAACAAATAATGATATTAACATCCCTAATCGGGACTTGTGAACAAATAGTTGTCTACTCCTTTTTGTCATGGATGTGAGCCAAAGGAATGGAGTGCCTTGCCTGCAGGTTAGAGCCAAGATTTTTTTTTTTTTTTTTTTTTTTATCCTCACCCGAGGACATTTTTCCATTTTTTTGTTCAGGTAGAGTAAGAGGGAGAGAGAGGAACAGAGAGAGAGAGAGAAACATCGACGTGAAAGGAAGACATCGAGTGGCTGCCACCCGCACGACCGACCAAGGCCGGGGACAAACTGCAACTGAGGTACGCGCCCTTAGCGGGAACCGAACCTGGGTCTCTCTGGACCACAGGCCGACACTCTAACCGCTGAGCCAAACCGGCCAGGGCAAGATTTTTCTTACAGTACCTCTGTTTGATTGAATACAGTGAACAGACTCTCAAGTATTCTGGTATGTTTTTGCATAGATTAAATATTCTTACATAGATTATTTGGATTAGAGACTGTAAAACTTTTTAAAGTCTAGCAGCTTTGTTGAAAACTTGTCTCTGTTGTTGATAAGAGATTGGAATAAAAATATGGATACATTAGCTCCTGTTTAAGAGAGTTAAAAACCACACCCACCTAGGAAAACAAGCAAACCTAGTCTGAAATGCAAGGCTCCATGACATTATTTGAGAACAGGGGTCAGTGAACAATGATCCATTGGCAAAATTTGGCTCACTGGCTGTTTGGTATGGCCTGTGAGCTGAAAATGATTTTTACGTTTTTAAATAGTTGAATAGTCCAGCCGGTGTGGCTCAGTGGTTGAGCGTTGACCCATGCACCAGGAGGTCGCTGGTTTGATTCCTGGTCAGGACACATGGTCAGGACACATGCCCAGGTTGTGGGCCTGATCCCCATTGGGGGGCATGCAGGAGGCGACCAATATATGTTTTCTCTCATCAATGTTTCTTTCTCTCCCTCTCATTTCCTCTCTCTCTAAAATCAATAAAGGAACGCCCTGGCCGGTTTGGCTCAGCGGTTAGAGCGTCGGCCTGCGGTCCGGAGAGACCCGGGTTCGGTTCCCGCTAAGGGCACGTACTTCGGTTGCAGTTTGTCCCCGGCCCTGGTTGGTCGTGCGGGTGGCAGCCACTCGATGTGTCCCTTCACGTTGATGTTTCTCTCTCTCTCTCCCTTCCTCTCTCTCCCTCCCTCTCTATCTGTACAAAAAATGGAAAAATATCCTCGGGTGAGGATAAAAAAAAAATAAAAATAAATAAAAAAATAAAATCAATAAAGGAAAAGAATATTTAAAAAAAAATTCATCTGTTTTAAAAATAGTTGAATAAAATTTGAAGGAGACTATTTTGTGACATGAAAATTATGGGAAGTTCAAATTTTAGTGTTCATAAATAAGGATTATTAGAACAGAGAGCCTCATCTGTTCATTTACATATTAACTGACTGCTTTCACAGAGTTGAGTAATTGCAACATAGACTACATGGCCCCCTGAGCCTAAAATATTTACCATCTGGTCCTTTACAGAATAAGTTTGTTCACCCCTGGTCAAAGACTAATAGAATACTTAAATGAAATTAGGCTTTTGTTGTCTTATATGTATTGGCATTTTTATCAAGTAGCTCTTTTTTAGTTTCTAACCTAGACTTGTACTTTATTATTTTTTTTGAAAGATGTGGGTTTTAAGTAAATTTATCTGAAATAGTTTTAGTGGAAGACATTCAAAATGCATGTTGGTAATCATAAGTTTAAGTTTAAATTCTTGGTCTCTAAGCTGAACCTTTTAAGTAATTTATTTTTTCAAATCCTCACCTGAGGATATTTTTTCATTTATCTTCAGATAGAGTGGGAGGGAGGGAGTGAGGAAAGAAGGGAGGAATGGAGGGGAGGAGGAGAAAGAAAGAGAGAAAGAGGGACACATCAATTGGTCACCTCTTGCATGACTCTGACCAGGGCTGGGGACTAAACCAAAACCAAGGTACGTGCCCTTGACTGGAAATGAACCCGCAATTCATTGGTTCTCAGGCTGACGCTCTAACCATTGAGCAAAACTGTCCAGGGCAAGATACAGTTGACAACATTGTGTAAGTTTAATGATGATTTGATTAAGCTCACTTGTTTTCTGGATTTGGCTAATGGGAGGCACTAACAGAGTTTGATGGATGAGAGGAGGAAAGAAACCAGGGTCTTTCCCCTACCTCTTTTTTGAGCCAACTCCAACAGCAGCTCTGTGTCCCATTAAAAACAGCCTCTTCTTCCATGGTCCTAGTTACCACTAAGCAGGTCCCACTGTGGTTCTAGTACCATCCTAAACTGTGATATTGTGACAATGCTTTATCTTTCACTCCTAGAAGTCACAGAAGCTCCCTGTTGTTACTAATCTCTAGGTTGCCTCACTTTCCTCTATTTTATTTTGGTAACTAATTCTTTATAGTAAATTTCTCTCTCTGAAAGACAGGACTGGACCCTGATTGATATATTGGCTTCTCTTGGAAATTGATTTGAAGAAAAAAATAATTGCATAGTTATAAAAGCAATTTGTATGAGTATATATGATTTTAAGGAATTTAAATTATACAAATAAAGCTGAAGTTCCCCTGATCCTACTCTATCTCTTTCCAAATCCTGTTGCCTCTTTCTAGAGATGACTATTTGCCAATTAGGTATTATCCTTCCATATTTTTTTTCTGTAATTGTGTGTGTAAGTGTTTTTTCACCCAACACAAATATAATGCTTATGTATTGCATCTTATTTTTTTCCCACTTACTTAATGTGCCTTAGCTCTTTCCATTCTAGTTACTTGTGTATCTGCCTTATTGTTTTAACCTGTTAACCGGGGAATTCCCTTTTTAATTATGCAGCATATAACAGGCGGGAACTCGTGTAAATATGTCCCGCTCGGTTAACAGGTTAAAAAACTTTTTGGTATTCCACTGAATGAAAGTAGCATAGTGTATTTAATTATTTGGTGTTTGGACAGTAAACAATTATTTATTGTTTCCAAAGGCTTTTTGTTTGTGTTTACTTAAAAATTTATTTTATTTTATTTTTTTATTTAGAGAGAGAAGAAGGGAGAGGGAGAGAGAGATGGAAACATTGATGAGAGAGAATGGTCGATAGGCTGCCTCCTGCATGCGGAGTTGGCCCACAACCTGGGCATGTGCCCTGACCAGGAATCAAACCAGTGACATCTTGGTACATGGGTTGATGCTCAACCACTGAGCCACACTGGTTGGGCTGTTTGTGTTTACTTTAAAAAGATATATAGTTCTGTGACTATCAGTTACTTATTGAATTTGTTTTTGAACACTTACTTTGATAGAAGATATCCTAGGCTCAGAAGATACTAGTGAACAATATTTTTGCTATTATGAAGCCTACACTGTAATGGGAATGGGGCAGATAATTTGTTTTAAAAATAATTCTTAATTTTTATAAATTTTGAGTGATGAGTGCTAGGAAGGAAATAAAACTAGGTGGGGGATGTGATAGAGAGTGGTGGGTAAGGGGGCTATTTAAACTTCTTGTGACTTCAAAAATCTTTTTTTTTTTTTTAAATTTTTTTTTCCTTTATTGATTTTAGAGAGAGAGGAAGTGAAAGGGAGAGAGAGATAGAAACATTGATGAGAGAGAAAATCAATGGGCTGCCTCCCGCATGCCCCCCACTGGG